ATGTACCAGTATACAATAATGGACCAAAGGACCAATTTAGGTATATCGTGGGTGTTTTATAAGAAAGTTTTAAATACTTTTAACACCAACAAATTATAGAGCAGACTCTATCAAGTAATCTCCAATACAAGACAGTTTCAGAAATATTTGTATTTACCAGCTATATCAGTGCTATGCACAATGATTTTCCACCCTTTGCTATGGGATTTAGGTATTTTTTTCCCAAACCAATAAACGAAATTCCCAAGGAATATTTTCCAAGCTACAACATAATAACATTTTTGTTTTAGTCCTCCTTTGGTATTACTGAAGAGGACTTAAGCAGTGCTTTACTCTTCTTTGCAAATTCACTTATTTAAAAAAGCCTTAATTGTACATTTAATTTGCTCTTTTGATATTTTTTTAAGGTAACTTTTTCATTTTTTTATGTTCCACTTTATAAATAAATCGTTTCAAAAGCTGTACCATACAGTGGCTAATATATCAACAAACACAATTATATAAAAGTGTTTCAATTCTGATAACCATGAACCTGTATATTGTCAAGTTCTCTCCATAATTTGTCAGAATTAACAAGATTCGTCATTCTGTCTTGTGATACATTTTGAGATGGATCAAGTTTGTAGGCTTTTACTTTTATGATTAAACTTATACACTTGTGTTTTTTTTAACAATGACCGTTTTTTACTTTGCATTGCTGAGTTTTCTAAATGACTACTTTGATAACATTATTGATTATATTTAAATCAGTGTGTTTTTTCATTTTTTTACTTGCGTGTTTGTTGACATTTTAAATCATTTGCAGATGTTCTTTGATAGGAGTAATTCAAGAAGAATGTGTATGACACAGAGTGGCTTGCCAACTGTTACCAGGGAGTAAATCCCCTAAAGCCTTGTTAGTTTGTTAATTTTTTATGAGAGAAATAATGTAAGGTCTCTGTCATAGAAGATGTGTCACAAAGAAGGTCTTGTTAATCTTACAGTTCATTGCAACCAACAAAACACAAGAGATGTGCTGATATATAGATGTACGAATTGAGATGGCAGTTTAAAAAGTAAAATGAAAATCAACCCTAAAAGGTCATTCAGCTTTGAGAAGCCTTAGTCACAGGGCTACACAGAGCCAGCTGCTGCATGCCCTGCAGATTTCTGTATAAAGTCCCTTATCAGGCCTAACACTACATAAAGGATGTAGATCAGGAGATGTCGACAACATTCTCATGTGAAATATTTCTATACCCTTGAAGTGCCATTTTGGAAGAATAAGGAACTTCCTGATCTCAAAAATGAATGGTGGAAATTATTGGTTCCAAAACAGGTTAGGTTTTGTGGAAGTACGTAGTCAACTACAGTTTAAGCTTCAGACCAGGATTTACTTTGACTTTACTGGAATGCCTGAGGTTCGTATTCAGGATCAGATTTGTTATATTTGATAAACCCAGGTTTATACGGACAAGATATGTGATTATTTGATTCTGATAGCATTTTTCAAAGAAAAGATAACTCATTGTGTGTCATGTCAAACAAAAGCCTGCCAAACATTTGGCCCCAATAGAGTAATTCAGTCTCGCTGTGGTGTGAAATATCATACAAATGTGGCTCAGGTCTGCTGGCAGGTGATAAACTTGTAGTACACAAATATTGACATGCACTGGTTAATACAATGACTGGGGGAATGACTGTAGCTAAGGGGTGATATACCAGTTCAGGTTTTGATGGACGTCTTAGCCCCACACAAACATATACTATAGTCCCAGGCACTGCTGCCCCTTTGAAGACCAACAAAAACTTTACCATGATCTTTGCTGGTATACTTGTTTATTCCGATTCACTTATAGGGTCATAGTGCTCATATACTGGGCCAGGTTAACAGGGGGGGGGGGGCTCTCTTACCAGTGAGACTATACACAAATGTACCCCAAAACTCTGCTTATATAAACTAGCTGGTTCAGATTCATTTTTAGTGCCCCTGTGAAGACCCACACATATTCCTTATCAAGGCTATACTTTGGTTCAGATTCACAGTGGCTCTCTTAAGACCCACAAAACCATACCCCAAAATTCTGCTTCAAAAATTTACCCCAAAATTTTTGAGGAGTTTTGGCCTAGATTTGATAACCTCCCCATGCCTAAAAATGAGAACTTTTGGCCTCAAACTGCTATAGATGACTATATGTTGTCAACTTTGTTAAATGATAAAGAACTTCCTTCTGAGTATGGCATTAAGATGTCTGGTTGGACACCCCATGTAGACCTACGAAAACATATAGCTTCCAATCACTACCGAGACACTTTTCTTGCTGATTGTGTTTTGTTATGTTTAAGCTGAATTATGTGGCTAATTATCTTTGACATTGAAGGCCAAAATATGAATTCCCCTGGGTTATAGAGACTGGTGGCATACTGTAACACCTTACACAATAGTTCCCTGGATGTACAACAAGTTCTATTTTTGACATAACATGTACATCTCTCCAGTGTTTGTTGTCTTGGCTTCACAGCAAATTCTTTTAATGCTGTCTGGTTTTAGTCTTCTACAAGAACAGATGTCTACAAATATTCTTGCTGATGATACACTTACACATGTATTAGTATAACATGTATAACTAAATCAGGCCATGTTCGTTAGAATGTTGGTACACTTGTTATATAATTCTTTTATACCAACAATGAAGAACTACAGATATCCCTACTCCAGATGTATTTCTAGCTGCTGCGATGTATATCCAAAGTTTTTCTGTCATTTATTTTGTATCCTTTTTTTCCAATTATTGTAAAAAAAAAAATCCTAACCATTTTCTTAATATCCAAAATCAAAAGCGCCCCAACAAACAAAACGATATACATATATATATGTGTTAAGTTGGCCTCAATAGTTTGATAGTATTAGTGTAAATAAGCATGATTTTGTCAGTTATCTGGAGTTTTACAAGTGAACAATAAAGAAGGTGAAGTGAGCAGCAAGTAATGGTACGATTTCCCCTACAGTTTATATAAGAGTGGATTTCCGTACAGTTTATATTAGAGTCGGGATGTATAGACACTGGGAACATGGTAATGCTTGGGAATCAGATTTATGACGGCGAGATGTTTCTCTGAAGGGTAAACATTCTTACTAATTAGACAGAGTAAATATAGACTTCTAGATAGATAGATACCAGTACAGATTGGATACAAAGGATACTGATTCAGAGTTTTGTATCTGAGTTGATGCAAATGTTTCCAACAGTCTGGAATTGTTTTGGGAAAGTTTCAGATGAGATTTTGTTTTTATTAATTAAATTATCTCTCTAGCGCGCGAAGACACTTGAAGGATGTTACATGTAATTGCTCTGTATCAGGTGTGCATCATTGAGTTTTCAGCAGATTTATTCAATTTCACTGCAGTACGTTCTAACACTTCCACACTGATGCACTGTATGCTGTTTAGGTCCCCACGTATAACTGTTTACACCCATTGTTTTAGATTAGTGTACAGATCTATCAGTTTATGTTTGACTGACTTTAAACTTCGTTGTGTTCAGTGATGGTGGACTGTTGTTGGTAAATATTGATGTTTTTGAGATAAGAGTGTGTTACCAGCTGACTTCCTGTACTACCTAATGTTTACATTTCATGTGGCTAGGATAATATAATAGGTCATTGTTAATATGATAAAATATTTTATCAAACAAGGTGTTATCAATGACTGATTAGATTTGGGTACGATTGAGGTCAAGTGTGTGTACAGTGATGAACCTGCTATATTTATACATAAATGTTTTGTGTATGATCATATATATAATTGACAATTTTAATGCATTTCTATTTTTTTAATTATAAATTCACATTACTACTTCAATTCTCTGATATTTTGTGAAGTATTTTATGAATACATGATAATTTTATGATCAAGTGTTACAGACAACACTGGTATCACACATTCTTAAATGGTACTAACTACTTGCAAAAGCTTTAAATTCATAGGAGGTTTTCTCCAATTATTCGAAGATAAGTTATTTCTAGAAATTCTTTGTACATATTTATATGTTGATATTTCTGTGGAACTCACTTAATAGAGGAGGATTTCTAAGCTAGAGTTCATCATTTTCTGTTTAAACTCCTAAATTTGCTCTTGTACAATGTCGGCTTACATCAACTTTGTTGGCTGCACTCATGATAAAGTGGTTGATGCAAAAAAGAGCAGTTATGTGAGGGACGGGGGAGAAGGTAGATAGTGTTACCTATATGTCCATCGCGTCCTGTTGCTTTATGTTCTGTCCCTCCCTGTACTGTCCTGTCCCTATCAATTGTTAGGACTCTACCAACTTCATTTTAACAGATTTTCATCAAAGTTTATACAAAGATTAAGTATGCAGACAATACCCTGGATGAGTTCGTGATTTAGTGTCCCATCCAAGTTTAATGCTGAGGTCACTGCATGCAACCATCAATTGCAGGGCCAAGGAATCATGTCTTACAGACATTTTCTATTGTAACTGTTAAAATTAACACTCACAGAACAGTGCTTGTAATGGGAAAACTTAATTCTGATCTATGCTTATATATAGAAGGCAAAGTCAAATTATCATGTATTGATAATATTGTGGCCCGGAAACTTCATTGAACCAGGCTACACAAGGACTTTGTTTATCATTCATCAATTTCTTTCTCTTTTTAAAAGATTGCCAATGTAAACAAGCTATATGATATAGGATTCTTATATCAGCATGACACCCACTAGTTTAGTGAGATGGCCGTATGATAAGCTGAGGTTTGTTTCTTGTTTACCAGGTATTTTAACATTTATGCTGTGACAGCAGATAAAAAAGAAAGAAACTTTTATTCAATTAGCTCATAGGCCTGTCACCCAGTAGTTGGTTTGTCTCAAATACTTGTTCATGTTTTTAATAAAAAAATAAAAAAAAAAACAAGTTAGCAGTCCATGAACATAGACAATGGTCTGTACCTTGTGTGACAGTACAGCATGGCAGTTGACTCATTTCCGTGTCCTGAAGAACCTAGTTACCTTAGCGGGATTGATAGGCGACACGTAATTAAACATCCTGTGTTTACCCAGACGGACCTGTCCGACACACTGTACAGCCAATCACTTCTTAATAATGGGATTATATATTGGAGGATGTCAAAAATACTTTTAATGTTTAAAAAATAATATTTAAAGTGAACTAGAGACACTTTGTCACATACATGAATAGACAACTCGGGTAGGTGCTGTGTACACAGACTGACAGTACACAATGTATACCAGATCAGTATGAAGGAGAGAAAAAAATCAAGTTTTGAATGACATCCAAGTTCAACTTATATAGTACTTGTACATTAACATGTCGAGTATTGTACTGTAGAACATGTTTGTGTGTAAAGGGGTGGCCACATGCCACCCAGACCCTCTAACATAGAGATGATCCTACTGGATACTCGGGTAGCGTGGCTGTCAGAGGTGGTGGATCAGCGTGTCGATTACACTGGATCACTATAATGTGTACAGGGATTTAAACTTCGTGTTATGTAAGCCTGATAATGAAATTCACCATGCGAAAGAACAAGACTTGGGGGAGCAGTCGACAATTAAGTGAAATGGTAAATCAATTATTTTGTTTTATTTCTTCAATCAAATTTTGATTTATTTTGATATAATCTTTGATAGTGTTGAAATATATATTAATTGATCATCACATTATTGATTGAATTATTGCTATCAATATCTCTTGAAGTCTATGTAAACTTATAGCTAGGAACACATTCTAGTGAATAAACAAACATGTATTTTTAAAATTAAAAAGTACATGATATTATCTGTGTCTTGGATGTTGTTATGATAACTTAACTGCCTACTCAACTGGACATCATTATAATGAAGATGTCTTCTTTATTAAGTTGTAACTTTTATCCCCTCATTTTATTGAGCTGAACATGAAAACATGATTCGTATTAATATGTTTGGTTAGTTTTGGTTCGGTGGGTGACTCAGTGTATGTCCTGTTTCGGTACTGGTCCTGGTGGTGCACTTTTGTGAATGGCTATATTAGAGTGTGTGGTATATTTATATGGTGACGTAGTCTGTACCTGGGACAATGTGACCCAAACAATTATATTCATGAATTTGACTTATCCAAGAAAGTGTCAGATTCTACAATGAGAGAATAGATATGTATTGTGTTGTGTAAGTGAGGGGTAAAATGAGGCTCGTCTAGCCCTCAGGTAACATACACCTGTGTTTGTATACAAGATTGTTATCTCACTGGCCCACACCACACGGGACCTGTACCACTCCAGACACGTTACAGGGGAGCTGTACGCCAGATCAACCTTATAATGTGGCTCAGTGGTCGAGGTGATGGTGTCAACAGGGGGTCAGAAGTTAGATACATATAGCTGTGCCCCTCCGTCCCCTTCTCCCCGTTACATCACATAATTTATAAAGGTGTTTTGTGTCATTCTTGTATCGTATATGTACACTTCATGTAATTATGTGTTATTTTACACTGACAAGGCCTGGTCACCATATTATAAATATCACAATGATAAATTGCCTTGTCAACAGTTGATATGCTTTAATTTGATGTAAAATCTATAAGAATTAATTTTGAAATAAAAAAAAAATTGACACATTTGATATTATCACATGTGTCAGTTAATGTTATGGTATTTAGATAGTAGATACATACTTTAATCTGTGTTGGTCACTATAGGTTTCATCATTTTTCAACCTTTAAAAATTGCAATATCTGTTGGTGTGCTGTAAATGTAATTGTGCATACCATATTGGTTCTAGTAATAGCCAACACTCTGATAATAATTTGCTATTTTTTGAAAGTTTAAAAATATCCCCAATAATCGCCCATCCCAATACTATCTGTCAACATAACTCTAAAGTAGTCCTCACAGTCCTCTTCAGCTTTGATCATTCTCTCGATCAATGCTCGTTTTTCCCTAGTCAAGGTCTGGTCGTTTGGAGGGTTAGATATTGGGATGACCCTTCATTCACCTCCAGTAAAGCTTGCATTGTTGTAGGGGTTTGTTTACAGAATTGCACCAATGCTTGCATACTGAAAATATGTTTTAATTGAAGAAATAAAGATTATGTATACCCATGCATTTCTAATTTTATGTTTGGTCTTTTCAATGGAACTTTACTCCTTATTTAGATGAACCTGAGTAAACCAGCTTCCTCATGCCTAGTGCGCTAGTGCAGCCATTTTGAAAATGTCACCAGCAATTAGTATACTTTACAGATTGATACACATAAGATCAAGATACATTTTGAAATACAACATATAGCGCTAACTACAATTGGTTTTGTTAGAGTGGGTTTGTTTGTGTTAATTTCATGTCCTAATTACGACTATGATCATCTAAGGATGTGCCAGGTTTGGGTGGTGGAGAAAAACTGGATTACCGGAGAAAAAAACACAAACTTGTGGCCAGTACCTGGCGACTGCCCCACATAGGCCTCAAACCTGTGACCCAGTGGCTGAGGGCTAAAGATCATAGATGGTCATGGCACCTTAGCCACTCACCATATCAAGTTTCCAGATTACGACTTTTACCAAACCCAATGATGGTCCAATAGGAAACTGGTCTGTTTTTGTAGAGCTTGAATTTTACAATTTTCAAATTTTGTCTCAAATAATTGCCCACACCCTACTTTCGTTTTACCACTTGTTCTAATAAGAATCAATATGATATATTAAGCTCGTCACACCACACCCCTCTTCATTTTAAGGGGAGATAATCTTGTGAAGAATAGCACTCACTAAATCATGATGTCGTAAAAAGTGAATAGCGATTTTGACATTAAAAAAAGTGAAATGTGATTTCCAAACACCACATGTGGATTTTGTTAACAAACATGCCAGACTACTGTTGGTCAAGTTGAGACTGAAGTAATAGTCATTCCCTACCTTGAGGGTGTGTAACAGAAATCTCAAACTCTTGGGTTGATTAATTGGTAAATGTCTATCCCTCAGCAGAGCCATGGTTTATAGACAACCAAAAAAATCCCTCCTCCAGTTGAAGATTTCTCGATCACACTGTCAGGTTAGGGGAATATTCTATCAATCTTCAACCCTGTTAAACATGCAAGAATATCACTCTGAGGGTTGGAGATTTCTTTCATATACCCTTACAGTATTTCACTGTGAACTCTTGCTGACAGCAGTAGTATGTTTGTAGACAAATGCAGCATTCAATTGTTATGACAACAGAGTTTTGTATTGACATCACTGCTTGCTTAGAGATGATTATGTATAAAAATACATATGATACAACACATATTGATTAATTTCTCATTCAGAACACAACAAATAGTTATAAACTATAAACCGTATTAATTAGAATATCAATCTACACTGGTTTCACTAGCAGTTGTTTTTAGCAGAGATGTTAAAAATTGTGAAAGATCATCATGTCATCTGACTTGTGCAGTGCAGACTGATTATGCTTAGCTATTTTTGGATTGGTTCACAAAACAATTCTGCAAAATGTTATCTTTATTTAAGATACAAAACTAACCATAATCGTACCATCTCAAAATGGTGACATACTTCAAGCTTGATATGCATTTCATCTCTTATAATGATTATATGATCTCCTGCTACCACAAGAACAACAATGTCACACAGCTAAGATACAGTTTCATTTAGTAATATACATGAATGCTATCAGAAACTGTAAAGTAAAATGTGTAATACACATTTGTAGTTACAAGAGATACGATCAACATGGTTTCACACATTGAATCATAAAAGGTATAATTGTTACAGTAATTGATTTTAGTAATGCCCCTTCGTCTGTTCATTTATATATAGTTCTCAGCTATTACAACCAGATACATTAAAACTCTGCCATTTATCATTTTAAAGTTTCTTGTTTATATATATTATACTTATTCAGGTTGAACTTCAAGCAATGTTCTTTGAACAAGTCTATCTCCCCCTACTATCTGACATTTTCAGAGTACACAACTATAAAGGGTGGGAGAATAAAATGTACAAGTACTGCAGACAGATTGTCACTATAAACAGGTGGTCACTGCAGACAGATTGTCACTATAAACAGGTGGTCACTATATACAGGTGATCACTGCAGACAGGTGGTCAATATATGCCTTACAATAGTGACAATAGTCATCTCGTCCAAGTGCTGCAATAAAGCCATATCTGTGGCTGTACAATGAAGTAATTTTCTCAAGATTATACTCATCTGCTATAACATAACCATTCTTGTACTGTATTTGACTATCATCTCAGTTATTTACTCGTCTCAACATTAAATGATTGATGTCACAATTCAATGTGGAGAATATAGATATAGATATATAATAAAGATGGTGGAATAGAGCAGCAGCTCGCTGAAATGAAAATTCTTAGTCATTTCATAAATCTATGGAATGGAAAACGATGTAAGATCCTGAATGTTATGACCCTGCCCCACTGTAAACATCCTGTCACTGTACTCATCTTCTGTACTGTAAACATCCTGTACACTGTACTCATGTATGACCCTGTCCCACTGTACTCATCTGCTGTACTGTAAACATCCTGTCACTGTACTCGTGTATAACCCTGCCCCACTGTACTCATCTTCTGTACTGTAAACATCCTGTCACTGTACTCGTGTATAACCCTGCCCCACCGTACTCATCTTCTGTACCATAAACATCCTGTCACTGTACTCGTGTATGACCCTGCCCCACTGTAAACATCCTGTCCCTGTACTCGTGTATAACCCTGCCCCACTGTACTCATCTTCTGTACTGTAAACATCCTGTCACTGTACTTGTGTATGACCCTGCCCCACTGAACTCATCTTCTGTACTGTAAACATTCTGTCACTGTACTCATCTTCTGTAATGTAAACATCCTGTCATTGTACTCGTGTATGACCCTGCCCCACTGTACTCATCTTCTGTACCATAAACATCCTGTCACTGTACTCATCTTCTGTACTGTAAACATCCTGTCACTGGACATGTATTCATGCATCTTCTGTACTGTAAACATCCTGTCACTGGACATGTATTCATGCATCTTCTGTACTGTAAACATCCTGTCACTGTACTTGTGTATGACCCTGCCCCACTGAACTCATCTTCTGTACTGTAAACATTCTGTCACTGTACTCATCTTCTGTACTGTAAACATCCTGTCACTGTACTCATCTTCTGTACTGTAAACATCTTGTCACTACTCATCTTCTGTACTGTAAACATCTTGTCACTGTACTCATCTTCTGTACTGTAAACATCCTGTCACTGGACATGTATTCATGCATCTTCTGTACTGTAAACATCCTGTCACTGTACTCATCTTCTGTACTGTAAACATTCTGTCACTGGACATGTATTCATGCATCTTCTGTACTGTAAACATCCTGTCACTGTACTCATCTTCTGTACTGTAAACATCCTGTCACTGTACTCATGTATGACCCTGATCGACCCACTGTACCCATCTGTTGTACCGCTAACATCCTGTCACTGTACCCGTTTATGACCTTGCCCCACTGTACTCCTCTACTGTACCGTAAAAATCCTGTCCCGGTACTCCTTTGTATCCCTGACCCACTGTACTCATCTG